GTACACTCCCCTGCTTTGTTTGAAGTATAGTTTTCGCGAGCTTGGGGTCTTGTCAGAAATAAACTGGACATGTAGAAGTGGCTAAACACTGCAGCTTCCAACCCCTCAGGTAGGCCAATAGAGGAAATAGTGTGCCTCAACCTACCTGTGTTGATGGGTAGGGCAGTGGTCCTCAGCTTTCCCATGGAGAGTTGCAGAGCAGGAGTCCTCAAACTTTGCCGGGTACCCACATGACCTGCGGAGCTTTCAAAGGTGCTAATGTTCAAACCCTACCCTCAGAAGTTCTTATTAATCAGTAATGACCCCTTAGACCTTTTTTTTTTTTAATTTAATGTCTTCCCCCAAGTCGTTCTAATAAGTAACCAAGAGCATCACTTGGTGATAAAATGTTTGCTGTTGAAAAGACAGAAGTAACTCTATACTGATCTCTGAACTTGGCTAAAGATTTCTGAATTTTAATATACCTGATATATGTTTGCTTTATTGCCTTTTTTTTTCTCTGTGTTCTAATAGCCAAGCACTGAAAATTATTTTATCTTACTGAAGGATCTTTTGGTTTGAGCTCTTTTTAAATGTAATCGGGCTACAATAAATCCATGAACTGTATTAAACTACACCAGTTCAACGCATCTATGGAAAATGGTATTTTTCAGTGGCTCATGTAATCTACCAGCACTCGAGATAATTAATATTACATAATATTTTTAAATAGGTGCTCAATGTAGCAAATGCTTTCCAAGAGGACTCGACGTCCTGTATCGTAAAATAATTCGCCTCACCCAAGCAGAACGGCTCATTGTAAAGAGATCTCAGAGGATCGTGCTCCTGGTCCTGCCACTTGGGCCTAAAAATATCTCTTTCCATACAGGTATCTGTTAATCCTGCTTGCTTTACACCCATGTGCTACCCTCTTTCTAATACCTCTAAAACCACAGCTTGTTTGACCAATTTAAAAAAAAAATTTGTAAATAATAGACTTTACATTTTAGATCCGTTTTAGGTTTACAGAAACATCTATGAAGAACTGCAAAGAGTTTCCATCTAATTATTCCCCCCTTCGTTTCCCCCGTTTTTAACATCTTGTACGCGTGTGATTTATTCGTTGCGTTTGATGATGAACCTACATAGACACATTAGTGTCACCGGAGATCTTAGTCCACTGCGTTCCCACCAGCTACGAACAAGAGCTCCTGCCGCCCCTCACCCTGCCAGCACTTGCTATTATCGGTGTTTTGGAATTTAGCCACTTTAGTAGGTGTGTAGCAGTATCTTCTTGATACCGCTTTGATTCTCGGTTTCCTAGTGATGCATGATGTCGAGTATCTTTGCACTTCCTTTTTCCATCTGTACGTCTTCTTCGGTAAGGAGCCTACTCAGATATTTCGCCCGATCTTTGTAAAAGAGGTTGTCCGTTTTCTTACCGTGGAGTTTTAAAAGTATTTTATGTATTTTGGAAAACCAGTCCTTTATCAGATATGTCTTCTGCGAATATTTCCTCCCACTTTGGGGCTTGTCTTCTGCTTCCTTTTTGAAGTCTCTGTGGCTATCAGAGGCTGGGAGATTCGTTACTCTACCTGGTCACTGGAGGCTTCCTTTGGTCCTAAATTTCTATAACATCATTGCAATCCCATGAGGAAGATCAAATCATTTGGAGAAAGCAGAAGCAAAAGCTACTTTAAAATTTTATTTTATTTTATTTTATTTTGAGACAGAGTCTCACTCTGTTGCCGAGGCTAGAGTGAGTGCCGTGGCGTCAGCCTAGCTCACAGCAACCTCAATCTCCTGGGCTCAGGCGATCCTCCTGCCTCAGCCTCCCGAGTAGCTGGGACTACAGCCATGCGCCACCTTGCTCGGCTAATTTTTTCTATATATATTAGTTGGCCAATTAATTTCTTTCTATTTATAGTAGAGACAGGGTCTCGCTCTTGCTCAGGCTGGTTTCGAACTCCTGACCTCGAGCGATCCTCCCACCTCGGCCTCCCAGAGTGCTAGGATGACAGGCATGAGCCACCGCACCCAGCCTACTTTAAGATTTTAAATCCACTTCCCTCTGGAGTCACGTCCCAGGCAGGACAGCTGCAGCCCTTTCCCAAGACCCCCGGACTTTGCTTGTTGGCTCTTCCTGGACTTACGCACCTGCATGAACCTGAAAAGTCCTCTGAGTCCTACCTCCGAAAACAGGGCCTGATGCAAGTAGCTGGTCCCGAGCAGACACCTGCAAAGACAGAGTTTCAGACCCTCAGCACCCAGCGCCTCTCAGGGTCCCGGTCCCTGCAGCCTTGGGGCAGAGCGCCGACACACTCGGGATTCCCGAGACACCAGCAATGCTTGTCATCGCCACGGAGCAAGGTCTAGAAATCTCTGCAGAATATGTTTTATCATAAACGTAAAATGAAATGAATTGTTTACGGAAGAAAATAATTTCCATCGAAGATTTGCTCTGTTGAAGGCACGTGTCTTTGTGCTATAGCCTTGGCAAAAAAAAAAAAAAATGCCCGTCTGTCATCAAAGACTATCACGATGTCGGCCTCGCCGAAATGTTTTTCTTGGTTATGTGCACAAAGCAATGTTTGGGGAAATACAGTGGATGCAAGACCTATCAAAGGTGTGTCGTTTGAAAAGCAAAGATGAATTGTAGAGGATGTGGAATAAATGAGACGCAGTTGAAAAGGGAAGACAGTGAGGGCCAGGTGCCTCCCGACACACCCTCACCAACCCACGGCTCCCTCCTCAAAAAGGCTCATTTGCTCCCGGTCTCCTTATCTAGGAAGCGAGAAACCTGCACTTCATCTCCAGTTGCCATCTAATTGCAATCGTACGTGAGAACATGGCTCCCCTGAGAGGGAGACCTTACCAAATTATTTTGCTGCCTTAAAATCGTTTGATAATGGCACAATTTCAAAACGTTTTTGTTTTTCCATTATAATCCAATAAAAATTTTTTAAATATACAAAGCAATACATTTAATTATTCATACAGCCATTTTCAGGGAAACAAATGGTCATTTCAAGCTACAAAATATTGAGTCCCTTGTAAAGGTGTAGTTATGGCTGCGCCTACTAACATCCTACCACACATTGAACTAAAGAACACGTAGTTTTAGGAAAATAGAAATACCTTCACAAATGACAGAAATCATGAAAACATACACATTAAAATTATTTAAATTATTGAAATCATCATCACACAGGTAGGTTGTAGAAACTTACCGTGTTTCCCCGAAAATAAGACCGACCCATAAAATAAGCCCCAGCAGGATCTCTAAGCAATTGCGCAATAGAAGCCCCACCCTGAAAATAAGCCCTAGTGACGGGCGTGGCTGTGCAGCGCGTCTGCACAACCCATGCATGTCATCGCGGAGCGGGAAAGAAAACGAGCAGCCCTTCTCATCTGCCCCGTGAGAGCTCTAGTGCTCGACGTGAGAGACTGGGGCCAATGGTTCTAAAGGAAATAGAGTCACAAGAAATTCAGGATGGAATTCAGGGTTTGGAGAGTGATGATGATGTTCCAGAAGAAGACGACTTAACTATACTTGAATAAATGTAGATGGTTGTACCGTACTTAGAAAAAACAACACATCCCCTGAAAATAAGCCCTAGGGTGTCTTCTTGAGGAAAAATAAATATCAGACCCTGTCTTATTTTCGGGGAATCACGGTACATATCAAAATTATTAAAATTATTGGAATCATCGTCGTACAGGTAGGTTGCAGACCGTTAGATGAGATTTTTCCAATTGTCCCTCTCAACGGTCCCCTATTTTAGAAGAAATACCATATTAGCATATTTCCCTTCATCTATCAGAAACTGTATCCTGGATACCGAAGAAATGGGAAACATCTTAATAATAGCCCAAAGTGATTTCTTTTCCGTTTCCCTCCTTCTCTGAGGAGAGCCCCGGTTCGTTATTGCTGTAACGACGGGTGTCTTGACTCGGGCGGGAGTTGGCGTCTTCCGGCGTCTGATCCCCGGGGAGGGGTGGCCGACACTCGGGTCAGCTGCTGGCACCCAGCGCAGTTGCGAAGCCAGGCACACGCCAGCGACCACACGCTCCCCGCGTGTCCGGCGAACCCGCTGCCAGCAGCAATTACAGAGGACAACGGCTCGGTGTGGCCACTCCCCTGGCGCCAGCTTATTGGATACCTCGCTACCCCGTGCGTCCTTCCGTTGTCACCTGGGTGCATTTATGGTCACACCTTCTGCAGGTGCCCCTGCCAGCCCCGGCTGTTTGTCAGAGCTATGCACGGCATCCGAACGCAATTTGCAGAAATCTCTTGCCACCACCCTCAGGAGATGCAACCTCCCTGGGATGGGCTGGCGGCTGGCCCCCAAGGACGGGGTGGGGAGTCCGTCCCAGAGCATCCCCCACTAAAACCACGGTCACCTTAAACAGCCCACAGCCTGGCCACTCCCAGGCTTCGTGGAGCCAAGGTTGTGGGGACCACAGGCTGCTCCCTGGAACAACTGAACCTCACTGAAGTTCAGAAGCCCACAACGTGGAAACTGCCGGTCTGCCGGGACGGTGTGACGCCAACAGTGGGAAGTAGGGGTCCAGGTACGACAGTCCGTCAGTCACACTAACCCAGTGTCTGTGCACAGCAGAGTCAGGACGCACACGAGTCCCGGGGTTGTTCCTGGCAGGTGCCCCCCAATGTGGGTTCTCCTGCAGACAGCCTCGTCCAATAGTCGGGGCTCTCCGAGATGAATATTCCTGTCCCCACTGGACGGGTGAGAACAGGGCCGATCTCTCATTGTCAGGAGGTGGCTCCCCTGAGATCTGGACCCAGGGTCTGCCTGGCTCGAAACCCCACTCCCGGCCCACGGTCCAGTCTGCACAGTCCCAGTGGGGCCTCGTGCGTCTGCTCTTTTACCAGCTTTCGCTCTCATTTCTCCTGGAATGTTCTTGAACCTCTCTGTCTTCTCTCCGCATCGTTCCTTCCTCAAAGACTGCGATTGTCTCTCTCCCAAGAGCCCCTCCAAATCTCGCTGAAGGATGCTCGTGCTCACGGGAAGAATCCTGGGAAGGAGAGACACGTGCTAGTTAAGCAACCGTATCCTCTACGCCCCGCCCTTTTGCATCCGAAATCCACCCTGGGGGGAGAAGGACAGTCATCCCTTCCTTTAGTGTCTGCAGTTATGCAGCGAGAGGGAAACCTGGACATCGAGGAACGTGGCCCCCAAACCTCAAGGCACATGCTGGGTGGGAAGGTCAGACTTCCAACAACGCCTTCCAAAGCTGGCATGTGCTGGATTTTTTTTTTTTTATCATTATCTAACAAACACGGATGCATCATTCAGCTTGTGCCCGGCACTGCTCTAAGGTCTTACCTTACAGGTGCTGTTTACTTCCCCACTGTAGCAGCCCTGTGAGGCAGGTATGAACACTCTTTGCCATCTGCGGATCGGGAAAGCGAAGCCACAGGTCACGCGGCCTTAGGGGCCGAACCGGGAGTCCAGGGCAGAGCGCCCTGGCCGGACTCGAGCCTCGTGCCCGGCCGTGCACCTGCCAGGTGTTCTGGGAGGCGACAGCCAACGGCAGCTACTCCCTGTACCTGCGCCGAGATTTTTATGGTCCCCATAACTCTTACAAATGTTAGCTTGTTTAATCTCCGCCGAGACACTTTGAGGAAGACACGCTTCCCCCAGCGCGCTCAGAAGGAAAAGCCCAGGGTCGGAGGGGCTCAGCTCATTAGCGGGCACTGCCCCCGGGGGCAGGGTTTTGAAGTCCCGGATTGATGTATAAATAATTTGGCTGAGCACTGAAAACATGAAGAAGAAGAAGAAAGCGTGGGGATGCGATTCTGAAAGGGCTCGCCGAGCCCTTAGAGAGACCGTTTCATTTTCGGAAGATGTTAGAGAAACCCCCCACGTCTCCGGGACAATCATGAACCCGAAAGTCCAGAATTACAGCTGAGAACAGCTAGGCTGGCAGGTGTCAGCAAGCCCTGTTTCTTTCTTTCTTTCTTTCTTTCTTTCTTTCTTTCTTTCTTTCTTTCTTTCTTTCTTTCTTTCTTTCTTTCTTTCTTTCTTTCTTTTTCTTTCTTTCTTTCTTTCTCTCTCTCTCTCTCTCTCTCTCTCTCTCTCTCTCTCTCTTTCTTTCTTTCTTTCTTTCTTTCTTTCTTTCTTTCTTTCTTTCTTTCTTTCTTTCTTTCTTTCTTTCTTTCTTTTTCTTTCTTTCTTTCTCTCCTTCTCTCTCTCTCTCTCTCTCTCTCTCTCTCTCTCTCTCTCTCTCTCTTTCTCTCTCTCTCTTTGTTTCTTTTTTTTCTTTGAGACAGAGTCTGGCTCAGTTGCCCAAGCTAGAGTGCCATGGCATCAGCCTCGCTCACAGCAACCTCCAACTCCTGTGCTCAAGCAATCCTCCTGCCTCAGCCTCCCGAGTAGCTGGAACTACAGGCATGCACCACCATGCCCGGCTAATTTTTTCTCTATATATATTTTTAGTTGGCCAATTAATTTCTTCCTATTTTTAGTGGAGACGGGGTCTCGCTCTTGCTCAGGCTGGTTTCTAACTCCTGACCTTGAGCGATCCTCCCTCCTCAGCCTCCCAGAGTGCTGGGATGACAGGCGTGAGCCACCGCGCCCGGCCGACAAGCCCTGTTTCTTCCTTCCACTCTCAGGCACGAGGGAGAGACCCCCACGGAGGTCTCTGTTGGGGGGGAGATGCAGGGGTGGCCTCGACTCACGTCCACTCCGGGTCCTCCTGAGGGACTCCACATGCCGGAGCCATCCTGCTCCCCTCCCGTCCACCCTCCTCTGTCCACACAACCCTGGGGTGGGCACCGTTGCCTTGCACAGACACGGGTGGGACAGGGGCTTCCTTCCTGGCGTGTGACAGTCCTCAGGGCTTAAGGACTGCTGTGTGGACCCGAGGCTTTGGTGATGAGAGAACAAAACACTATTTCGTGGGACGCCACGTGTGGCCGCCCGTTGTGCACAGCGACCGACAGGACGGCCGAGCCTCATCCCGAGGCAGGCGGCTGTGTCCCGTCCCTTTCCCAGGACGAGGTGCACGCGGTCACGGCAACAGCGGGCGCTCTGGACTCCTCCCCTCCCCGCCGTGCTTGCCGACCACGCTCATAGCCAGGCTCGGGAAGACCAGAAGAGGGGAGACCTGCAGGGGGCTTTGCACGACCGCCCGGAACCCAGTCAGGCAGGGTAGCGGGACAGGAGCAGACAGACACCCGGGGTCCTCCAGCCCCTCGTTTTTGCCCCATTCGGAACCCATGAGAAGCCCAGTCTTCTTCCCGCCTGGAGTTTCCCCGGCCAGCCCTGCCGGGACCAAATGGAGGGAGGGGTTCGGGGTGGCAAACGGCACGTGAGGGTTTCGGGGCGGGCACACCCCCTACATCTCGGATGAGGAAACGAGATGTTTAGGCTTTCAACATCAGAGTAGAAAAATTGAAATACATTTCTCACACCAGCCCACCCGTGTTTTAAATAACAGAAATGTATTCCTGACAAGCTCTCCTCCCTTCCTCTCAATTTATTACATCGATTAACATCCCAAACCGTTAATTCCATCTGCGTTTTGTTTTCTTCCTTTCTTCACGCTGCCACACACAGCACGCTGGGGAAATGACATCGGGCGTTTGAAAATCACCGGTTCCGAGAGAAGACTTGGAACGTAGGGGAAAAAAAAATTAACTCTTAGGCTGGGCGCGGTGGCTCACGCCTGTCATCCTAACCCTCTGGGAGGCCCAGGCGGGCGGATTGCTCAAGGTCAGCAGTTCAAAACCAGCCTGAGCAAGAGCGAGACCCCGTCTCTACTATAAATAGAAAGAAGTTAATTGGCCAACTAATATATATAGAAACAATTAGCCAGGCATGATGGCGCATGCCTGTAGTCCCAGCTACTCGGGAGGCTGAGGCAGGAGGATTGCTTGAGCCCAGGAGTCTGAGGTTGCTGTGAGCGAGGCTGATGCCACGGCACTCTAGCCCGGGCAACAGAGCAAGACCCTGTCTCAGAAAAAAAAGAAAAAAAATTTTAACTCTTTGAACTGTGCTAGTTGGAGACACAGAGGAACACCTAAGGGTGGGATGTGCTTTAATGTCACTTTAAATAATGTTAATTCTTTATGACCCAATAAAAACATGAAGGCATCGCCGCATTTCAGAAACTAGCAACCAAGGGCGATTTAAGTATAAGCGTAAGCAATTGGAGCTGTCCAGAACTTGGGAAAGGATCATTGCGGGCCATTATGTCTCATATGCTGCACAAATATTTAGCGGTGAAATTCCACACTTCACTTTATCGAAAGGCCGCAGGCACCATTAAACGCTGGTTCTGCGCCATCGTCTCCCTGCACTGGCAGAGCTGTCTCAAGAGTGACCTGAAGGCCGGGCGCTGTGGCTCACGCCTGTAATCCTAGCTCTTGGGAGGCCGAGGCGGGCGGATTGCTCAAGGTCAGGAGTTCAAAACCAGCCTGAGCAAGAGCGAGACCCCGTCTCTACTATAAATAGAAAGAAATTAATTGGCCAACTGATATATATATAAAAAATTATCCGGGCATGGTGGCGCATGCCTGTAGTCCCAGCTACTCGGGAGGCTGAGGCAGGAGGATTGCTTGAGCCCAGGAGTTTGAGGTTGCTGTGAGCTAGGCTGACGCCACGGCACTCACTCTAGCCTGGACAACAAAGTGAGACTCTGTTTCAAAAAAAAAAAAAGAGTGACCTGAACCCTGAGGAGGAAATGCAGTCGGCTGTCATGGTCAGCCCCGAGGAAAGAGACCTACGGCTCAAGGTCATAACAAGGGCAGCGCAAGTGGGGCCGGGGCCTGGAGGACTCACGGGGCGGGCGGGCAGGCAGACTCCCACCCCGGTTCCCTCTGGGTCAAAGCCCGTCTCGGTCTTCTCCCGGGTACAGGTGAGAGTCAGTGACCGAGCCCCACTCCCTGCATGCTGGGACGTCACCCGTGACTTCAGCATTTCAGGGCCACGCGCAGAGATCTTCGCACCCTTGTTTTTACTTTCCTTCATCGCACTTCTATGGAATCGTTTTCCCTGATTTTGCAGATGAAGTTCAGAAAGGGTAAGTCTTTTCCCGGTTGCATTAGACACAGCACAGATATAAGCAGAATTTGATGTCTGAGCTTAGTAGGACATGTTTTTTCCCCCTTCATTCGTATTTTCCAAAGTATCATCCTTTTAGACATCAACAGAGAACTCAAGTTTTCTTTTGGAGATAAAAAAAAAATGTGGGAGGCCGAGGGGGGCGGATCGCTCAAGGTCAGGAGTTCGAAACCAGCCTGAGCAAGAGTGAGACCCCGTCTCTACTAAAAAATAGAAAGAAATTCATCGGCCAACTAAAAATATATAGAAAAAAATAGCCGGGCATGGTGGTACATGCCTGTAGTCCCAGCTACTCGGGAGGCTGAGGCAGGAGGATTGCCTGAGCCCAGGAGTCTGAGGTTGCTGTGAGCTAGGCTGATGCCTCGGCACTCTAGCCCGAGCAACAGAGTGAGACTCTGTCTCAAAAAAAAAAAAATGACTTGATATCCACCAATAAAAAAACCCTACTATATGCCCAAATTATCTTACCTAGGAAGTTTTTTTTCCTTCTTGCAGGGCAGTAATGGGCATCTCGTGGAACTCTGAAAAAAGAGACTTTGCACGTCTGGTTTACATCGAATTCACTCAGGAAATTGCTAAGTATGCATTTGGTATTCTCAGACCATCGGCATGCCTAGGAGGCAAAAAAAAAAATGAACAAAGGGAAAAACTAATTCTGGTAAAAGCATTGTCTAAAGAGCATTTTGCGTTGTGCGTTTGGCATACCAGATGTTATCTCGGAACATTGTTTGACAATACTTTCAGGTCTCCTGCCCAAGTTCTTTGATGTGAGTTATTTAAATTTAAGAACAATGGCTGAAGATGAAAGAGTAAAAAAAAAGTCCTCGTGTGCTGCTATGTCTTTGCAAAAGAGTAATCATTCCGTGTCATATGTGGTTATGAAGTGGGTCTCTCCGGGGAAACTTTGTTCTGCTATTTTCCAGCCAGTGAAATTATCTGACAGAGGGAAGGGGATATTTGAGTAAAATTCTGATTCTGAATAAGTCGTGCTTGTTTATACGTCAGTGTTCTTATTTTTTTGGGGGGTGGGGGGTACCAATAAGAAGCCAGGTCAGCTGTCCCTTTAAATTAACCGTATGGAGAGAAAAGGCAGACATCGGGACCAACTGAGAACCGAAGTCATCGCAAGTTGGTATCAACCATCAGGACTCCAGAGCAAATAATAATCGTTATGTCTTTAGTGAGGTCAAGGAGAAGACACTCAGAAATGAGAATAAGACGACTTGAATCTGGGTTAAAAGATTCCATCTGTGTGTATGGAGTATATCTGAGGTCTCTCTTTGGCAGAACCAGAAGGTCAGGGTAGTTAGCCAGGTGAGTCTGCGAAACTTCCCCTATGTGTTCTTCCGGGAGTGCATAGGATGGAAGCTGCCGTCCACATCTCTGCAGTGCCACGAGAGCCCAGACTTAAACGCCCGCCTGCAACTGCAGCGGGGAAACTGAGGATGACAACGTCTTCTCCGTACACACCATGAAGTCTGCTCCAAGGAAAGAAAGATGGACTTGGGGTGCTCCAGAGCTACAAACACAGACCAGAGTCCTCTGTTTTTCGCTGCCTTGAGTAACAGTGGGAGCCACAGTCCTTGGCTCCCAACTCTATTTATGCATCTTATGTATTTTGTATATTTATGCCACACATACAAACCTACTGAAGCTCTGAGTCACTATTTAACATATTTTCCCCTGTCTCGAGAAGGGGAATAGAGGTTCGCGAGGTGAACCAGTCTCAGACCCCAGGATAGAAACGACGGAGCCGACCGAGTGTGGATCCCGACCGGCCAATAACCCACGGGACTCCTGGCACATTCCCCGACATCTCTGAGCCTCCCTCCACCTCCTCGTCTCTGGGGTGAATATCGCTGCATTTCTGCTGTCATGGAATTCTGTGCCAGTGAATGAATGCTATGATGGTTCAGGAACGGAGTCCTTCACCTGCAGGAACTGGGTCCTACACCTGGAGCACAGTGGGAGCTACCCGAGCTTCACCCCATGGACGTAAGGGGCCCCGGGCGTAGGTGCCCATGCAGGGTGGTTTAGCTGCCTTGGCTCTTACAGGCTAAGGAGAGGCAGACGCTAAAGAAACCAGCAGGCCGGGCGCAGTGGCCCACGCCTGTCATCCTAGCACTCCGGGAGGCCGAGGCGGGAGGATCGCTCGAGGTCAGCAGTTCGAAACCAGCCTGAGCAAAAGCGAGACCCCGTCTCTACTAAAAAATAGAAAGAAATTCATCGGTCAACGAAAAATATATAGAAAGAAACTAGCCAGGCGTGATGGCACGTGCCTGTAGTCCCAGCTACTCGGAAGGCTGAGGCAGGAAGATCGCTGGAGCCCAGGAGTTTGAGGTTGCTGTGAGTGAGGCTGACGCCACGGCACTCGCTGTAGCCTGGGCAACAAAGCGAGACTGGGAAAGAAAGAAAGAAAGAAAGAAAGAAAGAAAGAAAGAAAGAAAGAAAGAAAGAAAGAAAGAAAGAAAGAAAGAAAGAAAGAAACCAGCAAAACATCGCACCAAAGAACCGCAACCTCACAGTGCAGATGACAGCCGTGGTGAGAATTGTGGGGGGCTGTCAGTGAGTCCAGCAGGGGTACCAGCCATGGCCTTTGGTGAGGGAGTCCTTCCCGGGCACCAGACCTCACCTGGCCCGGGGTGCACGGCAGGGGCAGCACCGCACCTCTGGTCCTCTTCCCCTCCCGCCCCGGCCGACAGGTGCGTGTGGGTTGCAGCTGATGTCCTGGCCGCCGGGCTGTCCTTGGAGCCTCATGGCTGGATCTCTGTTCTGTGGGAAGAGCAGGGGCTGAGCCCAGACTGGCCTGAGACTCACCTGCCCATCTCCCGACGGCACTGGGTGAGCCTGGCTCCTGGTCCCGAAGCAGCTCCCAGCTGCCCGTCCTTTCTGGCTGCCGATCGGTGCTGAAGTGGCTCAGAAGCCAGCAGAAGGCAAGAGGGGCCTCAGAGCGGGGGCAGATTAGCATCGCTGCTCACTTGAATCCCCGCTTACAACAACAAAACGAGATACGCCCGAAACCATGCTCCAGTTCAAATATCGGTCGTCGTGGTGAACCTCTCCCTTTCAAAGCCCCCTGTCCTGCAATGGTACACAGAGGCTCTGGTGTCCTGCCGTGCCCTGGCCCCATCTACGATGCACTGCCTTGTGCAAAACAAACAGAATGCAGAAAGCAGCATCGATCTCTGCTCGAATATTTGCATACATTATACAAAAAAAAAAAAAACACAAATTGAGGAGAACTTCGAGAAAAGTACAGACCTGCCAAGATTTTGATCTTCACTCACTTCCACATCAGGATCTAAGCTAAGTGCTAAATTAGACAGGTTTCGATTTTCTACGCCCACTGCACCAAAATCGGGGGAAGATACGACTCGGAAGCTCTAGTGTCTGGCCCCGTGCCTACTCTCCTAGGCAAACGGGGGGCCAGGGGGTGCACGAGCATCTCTGCTTTGTGCGTTGGCAGGCACCTGGGGGCTGTTCGCAAATGCCCACGGCCTTAAACGCAGGCACCGGGCCCCGGTCTGTGGCGCTTGTCTGGAGCATCTTTCTTCGGCGACACCGCTCTGCGATGAGCTTTCTGCAGACGCATAAGTAGGGCAACTTTGGATTAGAGCAGGCGTTCCGTGCATGCGAGGCTCAGAAGTTTCCCGGGCGGCGCCCTGCAAGCCGCGTTTCTGGCTCTAGCCTAAGCTCTCAGATGTCTTTTGCACTGTAGAGAGTGAGTGGGTGAGGCATGCGCTTTCCCAGATTCACTGGAAATTATCAGCGGCATTAAAGCCTCACTGTCAGCAGTCCAGGAGAATTGTTGAGCACGGTGCAGGAGAGGGAGCCATACGTCAGAAATGAGCCAGACGGGTGAACGCTCTAAAGGGAGAACACGGAAGCCCTGTCTCCCTGAGGCCTCGTGGTGTAATGCAGGCTCATTCTTCCAAAATGATCTGCTGGATCCATTTGATAACCAGTCGGAGTGATGAACACGCACCAGCCCCTATTTATACCGATTCACGGTATGAAGGAAGCCCTGCCGCAGCTGGCATTGTGATCTCTATTTTACGGATGGGGAAACTGAGGCATGGTTTAAATAACCCGCCCAAGGTCACAGTATCGGAGTTAGGATTTGAAGTCAAATCTCTCTCTCTCTCCCATCATGAAAACCGAGCTGTGATCTGTCAGCTCACCGAGTAACAACATGTGAACACCCTAATGACTCCTAACGTTCACCAGAGGGACTATTTTTCCTCGTGTAAGAAAAATTATCTGGAAATTTCTAGGCCCATAAGGAGTTCGAAAAGGTTGCATGTAAAGCAGTGAATCGCATAAAACATATTTCTGTGCCATTCTCATGTCAACATGTTAATGCATACTAATGAATTTTAGGGTGGATCATTTTATTTTTTAATGATCACTATTGTAGGTAACAGCTTGTGTGGTTTAAATACAAGATGCAATTACTGGGTCATATTCCTTTTTCAATTTTATGTCAGATTTTTAGGGTTCCGTAAGTATAATCTTGAAATATAGGCTATCCCTGGAAAATAAAATTACTTAGAACTATTTCAATTTTCGATCCGGTTCTTCGTAAGTGTTACTTTCTTCCATCCAAATGTTACACTGGACAGCAAAACTATCAGATGAGAATCCTCCCTACCTTTTGTGTCATTGTTCCCTAAATAGAGCAACACATGAAACCCCTCACTGTCAGAAATCAGACTCACATCCTAAAACCTCCCGTCTTTATGCAATATTTTTCTTTGGCAAAAAAAATAAAGAAAGAAAGAAAGAAATAACAGCCAAGGGAGATGAAAGGAAACACACACACACACACACACACACGAAACAAGACATGCAAGCAAACAGACAAACATGCAATCTCTGAGAAATAAATACCCCTAAAGAGGCTGCCTCCTGGGAATTGCAAATCTCAGTCCCTTTCTGAGGAAGTGAGGTCTCCGTATTTCTGAGAGAAGTATCTCCCCCTCCACGCAAGGAGCATTGTAATGATTAACTAGTTAAAAACTGTTGGGCTGGAGAAAACGGTCTTTCTGAGCACAGAGAGCTGTCGGAGGGGTTGCAGCAGGAAGCCTGGTCGCTCCAGGGCAGGGTCCCTCCTGGAGGCTGCCTGCAGGGTGGCTTCTCCCAGCTGAGCCGGCAGCACGGACCTCCTCGCCGTTCTTCCCTCCAGAGGAGCCTCCTCCTCCTCCTCCTCCTCCTCCTCCCACCCAGTCCTGGGCAGCTCCATCCTTCCAAATGGGAGCTGAGTTTGCAAGCCTCCGGCCTCGGGGCTGGTGCTGCTGATGTCACCGCCAGAAAACAGTTGTGATTGGATCTAATTAGACTCTGCCGCGGCAAATAGACAGGCTCCCTGCGTGATTGGCTTCAAAGTGGCTGGTGCCAAACAACTAGCAGAGGTGCAAAAGTAGCAGCCCTGCGTTGGGAGCACCAGACGGAGAGGCAGCCCCGGAGAGAGAGAGAGAGAGAGAGAGAAGAGAGCTCCAGCTCGGCGCGATCGGGGCGCCCCTGCCCAGCCCTCCCTGCCCGGGCGCCTGCACATCCCGGCACAGGCTCCCTCCAGCGCAGCCGGAGCCAAAGACAGAACAGCCACAGGGAGCGCGCTCTGAGGCTCACTGGAGGTCCTAAAAAGTGAGCCGCCCCGCAGGCTCTCCGGTTTGCAAAATCAAGGATTCACAGCAGCTGAGCAGGAGCTCGGTCCTGAAAAGTGCAAGGGGCTCTCTGGGTTTGCAAAATCAGAAGGATTCTCGGCAGAGGCGGCAGCTGCAGCGGCTGAAGCAGCAGGAAAGGAGCCAGCCAGGCAGGAAGGGAGAAAAAGGTGCGACTGCCCAAGAGGAAGGAGAGCTGCTCGCTCCCGGCTCCCTGACGGGGTCTCGGGACATGGCATCTGTCCTAGGGAGCGGCAGAGGATCTGGAGGGCTGAGCAGCCAACTCAAGTGCAAGTCCAAGAGGAGGAGGAGGAGGAGGTCCAAGAGAAAAGGTAGGAACCGCTCTGTGAGCGCTGCACTGCCGGCCACAACTCTCCGGCGCCCGGGTTTCCCTGTTGTCCTGGCTCTGCCTGTTCGGAGCAGCTTCACTTTAGGGTGCTGCTGGGGTGTCTGACCAGAGCTGGTGCTTGGGAGTTCAGACCCCTTTGCACTTGTCCGGGGGCCTCCTGGAGCCCCAGTGGCCAGCTCGCTCGGGAAGAGGTTTGACAGGAGCCAGCAGGGAGGGCGGGGAGAAGGCTGAGTCCGGGGAGCCTGGTCCTGGCAGGGGGAAGATGCTCCCCGCTCCGGCACTGTGGTCTCCACCCCCCACAGCCTCTTGGAGGCCACATTTTCACTCGGTGCCAGAGGAAACATTGGCATGAGCCGACATCCACAAAGACGAGGGAGCCAGCCCTCGTGCCAGCTACTGCCATCGGAATCGTCCCCGAGGAGGCAGTGGGCAAAGCCCGGCCAGCGCTGCCCCAAATTGGCTGGTGGGTTTTTTTTTACTGAGAATTAAAGCGCCGCCGCTGTCTCGTAAGCACCGGGACCCACAGAGAGCGCAGGGCTCGTCCTCGGGGAAATAAGCAGAAATGAGCACAGAAATAAGCAGCACGTCTTGTCAGTAGGGGGGGAACAAAATAAATCCACGCACCAGCAAGGGATAAAAAGGAGCTGGGTGACAGGTTGCTGCTGACAGACTGTCACGGGTGTCTCCTCACCAGCGTTCTCGGAAAGCAGCCGCACTGAAGTTAGCCGGTGCCTCTGCACGCCGGGGCTTCCACTCAGGGGGCTCGTGCTAAATTAGCCGTGGCTCCAGGGTGACAGCCATGTCCCCAGATGCCATCGCCGCCCGTGTGCCTTCCCCAGAGGGATTAAAACATTCTTCTCCTGCCAGCTCTTCCCTGCCCAGACGGGAACTTGTATACTGTCAGCTGCTCGTTATGAGACTGCAGGAGAAAGTTCAGTGCTTCTTATGATTTGAAATGTCTTCATATATATATATATATATTTTTTAAAAGTGAATTTAGAGCTATCCAAAACAACTGGAAAGACATAGCTAAAATTCACCAGATTTTCTAGTCGTTCCAATGCAGGACTCACGGTCAGGTTACGGCTGAGGTTTGCCTGTCCTCCCTGGAGGATTTTGGTCTTTGCTGGGGCCTGAGATAAGTTTCCACCAGACGGGTTTCCTCTGTGCCCTCAGACGGCCCCCATCCTTCAAGACTTCTTCCAGGGGTAGAAACTAGCCGGGCTATTTTAAAGGCATCAATGTCAGTAGCGAATGGTCTTAAATTATGATCGTACATCGGGACCCCCCTGGGGGGGGGGCAAATGAGGCTCCGCAACTTCCCCCAAAGGGGTTGCAGAGCCTTCAGTTTCAGAAGCAAAGGTGGTGGGGGGAGATTTTTATGATGCTAGTTTAAGTCTCCAGCTGCTACAGTGTATGCCTGCTGTCTACTTTGTTACTTGAAAATTATTTACTTTGTTACTTGAAAATATCTACTTTGTTACTTGACAATGAAACAGACCCATCAGCGCTTTCGGGAGATGCTGCTGACAAATTTTTCATCGGTATTGAGAAAAGTCCACAAGACCGAATAGGGAATATGACTTTTAATAAAGGAAAGAGGAAAAAAACGTCGTATTTATTCTCCAGGTATCTGTGTTTCCCAGTATTTTTTTACTTAGTCTTTTTGAAATATTTAGAATTGAAGAGCATGGGCTATGCTCTTTCATAATGATGCAATCCATATAGGCATAAGCCGGTGGAAATCATTGCCTTTCTCGAAATGCATTTTCCTTGCCGTTGCATGTCAGTCATGCTAGCTCAGAGAGTATTCAATTTGTAGGGGA